TATTTTCTTGTTGCTACCATTCTCGTTGGTTGGTTGGGATTTGGGTTTTGTTGGTTAGGGGCTATGGATCCAAACCAGAGATCATGCACGGTGGTCAAATACTGCACTACTGACATCTAACTCCAAGATTAGACTTTTTTCTTTTCCAACAATGCTGCTAAGATGGGCCAGAATAACCTTTTCAATAAATCATGCTGGATACATACGCAGGAAAACAATACAATTGGAAATCATGTTAAGTAAAAAGAGGTCAGATTCAGAAAGACAAAACCACATATTTTATTACATATGGAGAACCCATGCTAAAGTTTTATACATCCTATATATGTAATTATCTATACTATATATACTAAAGATAAGATTTTAAATAAATATCATATTTATAAAAGCAGAGGAGTGAACTAGCTGGATAAAGAAAGGGAATCAGTTGGGAAAGCCTGAGGAGGCATATGGGGAAAGGACAGAATGAGAACAAAGGATAATAATACGAATATCTGAAGAAGCCATGATTAAACCCACTACTTTGTATATTAGCCAAAAAATTAATAAAATAATTTTAAAAAATCATGCTAGAACAAGTATATATGACTATGCAAAAAAGCAAATTGGACTCTTTCTTATACCACCTGTATTGAAACAGGGCAAATTATAAATCTAAATATAAACAGCTAAGAATATTAAGCCTTTGAAAGAAACTGTAGGTATAAATCTCCATGACCCTGGCTTAAAAAAGACACCTTTCTTATATCTGACACCAAAAACTCAAGCAACAGAAATTAAAACAGAGACTTAACGCAGTGTCAAGGATGTGGAGAGAGTGTGACCCTCACATTGCTTCCCAGTAAGATGTAAAATTGCACAACTACTTTGGAAAACAGCTTGGCCATGCCTTAAGTAGCTAACACGTACAACACAGCAAATACATTCTGGGACAATACCCAAATTTGTGAAAACTAGGTCTACATAAAAACATGTACATATATGTTCACAGCAGCCCAAGGAGGAAACAACTCCAATGTTCATCAACTTATGAATGCATGAATAATACAGGATAATATATATATATATTAGAATATTACTTTGCAATAAAAACAAAGTACTGTGCTAAGGATGTATCTCAGTTAGCATGCTTGCCTAGCATACATAAATCCTAGATTCAATCCCCAAAACCACAGAAATGAGACATGATGATGCACACGTATAATCTCAGAACTTGGGAAGCAGAGACAAGAGAATCAGACGTGAAAGCCACTGTGTCTCAGTTACATAGCAAATTCAAGGCAAACCTGGAATATATGAAACTGTCAAAAAAGAAAAAACCCCTGAATATTCCACAGCAGTCACTGAGGTAATGTGGGTAAAGAAAAGTCACACCTCATAAAGGGCCCCTGTGATCAGGTCAGGAAGAACAAGGATAAGGATAGGCCTCTGGCCTCCGAGTCTCTTGATGAGTACTCAGACCAAAACCCTGTACCAGGGCCCAGTGTGTGTGCTGGAGGGAGAAGTAACTGTGGGTAAGAGCTATGGACAGTGATAGGGCTCCCTGGAACATGGCCAAGTTCTCTGACAGCCAAGTTCAGAAAGCTGCCTTTGCTTCGTTTTCTGCTGTGGGCAAAAAAGGCCAAAAGGACCAGAGAAAACAGCTCTAAGAACTAAGAATGCTTAAGAATGGAAGCAGTCAAGGAACAAAGTCCAGGCAGATGAGACACCGACCATTTGCAAGACAAGAAGGAAGAGGAACCCATCTGATCTCAGCCAGAGGGGCTTTAGAGAGCCTTGAGCCCACTGAAATAGGCACAGCAAGAACTGAAAGTCTTCCATGTACTGGATAAAAAGAGTGAAAAGAACACTGGAATCTCTTCCTCCCAGGCTCCGAGAAACCAACAGCACCCAAAAACTCCAGCCTTTCCCAGCCATGAAATCCCACCTGATGGGGAAGTTTTGAGAAAACCCCAGGCAAAGATAGATATCGGAGAACGTTGTGAAAAGGCAAGTCCATCTCCATCCCAGCAAGAACTGCCCCTATCTGGGAAGATCAAGTTAGTACCATTGCCTCTCCCACTCCTGGACAAGCCTCAAGCACTGCCTGTATCGCAAAGGCCGCTGTCCCTGGCTTCATGAAAACCCAGAACAGCTTATATTGCCTGACCACATTACAAACCTACTCAGCCTACTACAGTCAATCCATCTCAAACAGCTCTAGCCAACATATTTTTTTGAGTGTTGGTCCTGCCAAATCAGGGTCGATTTTTGACCAGTGCCACCTAACTAGGTATGACCAACTCCACCCAGTCTAGCATCTCTTAGCTGGCTGCTTCTAGGCTTATACCCTATAAAACATCATCTTCCACTTCTCGTCAGAAGCAACCTGTTTTCCACTGCTTATGACTAAGGCCCCAGCACCTCCCAGGACTTCAGTCTAGTATCTACTGCAAGTCTTCAGCCACCACTTTCCATGGAGAAAGCTAACATTCCAGGGCCAATCATATCAGAGCCCGTCACAGAAGATCAGAATCTGGGAGTGAGGAGATGGCTCAGCAGTTAAAGGTACTTGTTTCTCTTTGCCTCCAATAATACAAGACTCCAGTTCCAGGATATCAACATCCTCTGCAGGAACCAGGTACATACAAGTAGGCAAAATACTCATACACATAAAACATAAGACATAAAAACTAAAAAGAAAAAGGCCAAAGCATAAACCTATCATAAAGAGCTGGGTTCAGGAGAGTGGAAGAATACTGCCAATACTCCTGTGGGGAAAGAGGAGATTTCTTCTTCTGAGGGGAAAAGACATGAAAATTTTTTGATATTATGGTTATATAATGTTAGCTATCGAGACTGTTGGAACAAAGTGATTTTCCACAAGAATATTAAGATAGATACAGATGTATAGACTGATTATAGAGATATATAATTATGTAGACACAGATAACTACATACATAATATTTCTGAAAAAATTTTAAAACATAATAAAGCTGACAGAAGACATATAATTCAGTTACTATTAATAAATGAGTACTAAAGAAGACTTCATTCATTTTCTCATAATTTGATATTGTTCACATTAGCTTTCAAAGTAAAATATCTCAAAGAAAGTATTTGATATGAAGCTAAACTCAAATATTTCTTCAATAATTGGGCAAATAATAAAACACTTGAATGAAAAAATAATTTAGGACCACAAAACGGCTCTGAGGATGAAGGCACTTGCTGTGCAAGCCTTGACTCCACGTCTCCTAGTGAGCTTCAACGATTAACCTGACACAGCCCACAGTCATCTATCTGAGGGAGTTTCGGTAAGACTGGTCTATGGGCTATGAGCATGCCTGTTGGTACCGTCTCCAGGCAGGGTCTTGTGCTGTCTATGACAGTTACCTCGGCAGAGGCTGGGGAGCTGCCAGTCAGCAGCGTCCCTCCATAGCTTCTGCTGCAGATCTGGTTTGAGTTCCTGACCTGACTTCTCTTACTGATGGCCTGTTACCTGGAACTGTAACCTAAGAGACCCTTGCTTTTCTGAGCTGCTTTTGGTCATGGGGTTGATTATCACAGCAACAGAAAGCTAACTGAGTCACCACAGAAGTAGAGAACCCAACTCCACAAAGCTGTCCTCTGACCTCCATATGTCCCATGACATGGACACATAAGTATCACATACAATAATAATAATAAATAAAAAGTTAAAGTATGGACACAGCCATAACATAGATGAACTTTGAGAACACTGTGGGAGAGGCCAGTCACAAAAGATCCCACATTATGTGAGCACTGTGTGAAATGCTCAGATCAGGCAAAAGAAAGTAGGTTAGCTGTTTCCACCGTGAGTAGTAGAATGACTGCTAAGGAGTATAGGTCTGTAGTCATGTGGATGCACTGTAATCATTAAATTATAGAGTTAAAATACTTACATTTTTATTGTGTGTATATGAGTGCCACATGTACACATACCATGTGTGAACTTCTATGGTGACATGTGACTTACTACTCAATAAAAACATTTTTAAAAGAAAATATAAAATTAACTACAAATTATAAGGCATGAATTTTTGTGGGATAATACTTTTATACACTGTAAAAATTTGTTACTTGTATTAGTTTAATAAAATGCTGATTGGAGTAGGTAGCCAAGCAGGAAGTATAGGTGGGAAAACCAGCCTAAGAGAATTCTGAGCTGGGTAGTGGTAGCACATGCCATTAATCCCAGCACTCGGGAGGCAGAGGCAGGAGGATCTCTGTGAGTTCGAGGCCAGACTGGTCTACAAGAGCTAGTTCCAGGACAGGCTCCAAAAGCTGCAGAGAAACCCTGTCTCAAAAAACCAAGGAGGGAGGGGGCAGGAGGGAGGGAGAGACAGAGACAGAGACAGAGACAGAGAGAGAGAGAGAGAGAGAGAGAGAGAGAGAGAGAATATTCTGGTACAGGAAAAGAGTCAGTCACCAGCCAGATGCAGACGAAGCAAGATGAGAATGCTGCACTGAAGGTACCAAGTCACATGGCTAAACATAGATAAGAATTACGGGTTAATTTAAGTTTTACGAACTAGTTAATAATAAGCCAGAGCTAATAGACCAAATAGTTTACCATTAATACAAGCCTCTGTGTGTTTCTTTGTGTCTGAACAGCTGTGGGACCGGGCAGGACAGAAGCTTCCATGCTATGCATCTGTGGCCTGCCTGGGATACATAGCAAGACCCTGTCTCATCACTCCCTGAAATACTCTGTATAATAAACCAACTATACATCATTTTGAAGGTCTTAATTATTAATAAGTCTAATTTAATTATGTTTGTTGTACACCATGCACCTTAATTCAATCTCCTTAGCAATGTCTAAAAGCAATAGTAAACTGGTCAGGCCTGTGACACAGACCTATGATCAAGCTACTTGGGGGGCTGACATCGGAGATTATGATTTTCTGGCCTGCCTGGGCTACAGAGTAAGTTCAAGGTCAGCATGGGCAATTCAGACCTTGTCTCAACATAAAAGGTAAAAAGAGGACTAAATATAGCATTTGCCTAAATTCAATCTTCTGGATTGAAAAATAAGAAAGAAAAAGTAAAACTCACTCACTTACTTGTTTTTATTTTATTTATTTATTTTTGTATTCATTCTGTTGTTGTTAAGACAAGATCTTGTTGCCAGACAGTGGTGGTGCATGCCTTTAATCCCAGCACTCGGTAGGCAGAGGGAGATGAATCTCCATGAGTTCGAGGCCAGACTGGTCTACAAAAGCTAGTTCCAGGACAGGCTCCAAAGTTACAGCAAAACCCTGTCTCAAAAAACAAAAACAAAAAACAAAAACCAGACAAGGTCTTGCTGTGTAGTCCTGGCTGACCTTGAACCTGAGATCCCACACTAATCTCCCAATTACTGGGGCTGCATGCATATAGCACAGGCCCAGCTTTATTTACTCACTTCTAACAAACATCAGGATCTGCAAAGAGAACCAAGGCTTCTGACCAAGTTTCTTCACATGATATTCACGGGCACACTGCACATCACTTAGGAGTATTAGGAGTTTGAGACTAGCTTGGGCTACCTAACAAGACCCTGTCCACAACAACACAAAAATAAATAAATAAAAGGATGGAATACACATGTATTTACTTTTGATAGACTTCAATATTTGGAAATAAGAGGCAATGAATGTAATTTTATGGCTATGAAACAATGACTATCCAAGACTTTGAACACTGTCTGAAAGCCGTGTGCTTCTCACTGAGCTAGCAACAATTGTAGCAATGAACATATATTGACTAGCTGTCTTTCACGTCTAAAGTAAAGGTGAGAAAATGAAACACTGAAGGCTAAACAAATATTCCCCGGCCTCTGCAAATAACTCAGAGTAAGGTCACATCACACTTTTAACCTTTACAGTGTCACTAGATACCAAGCTGGGGAAATGAGTTATGATGGAACAGTCAGCTGCTGGTTAGAAGTGAACAAAGTCTTCAGGATACCTGTTTAAGACAATAAGAGCCAGCTAATTCTTTAAAATAATCTTATTCATTACTGGGAAATTATGCTTTAAAAAATTGGTATTTATCACTCAGGGAAATTTCATTCTCCTGCTTAAGCTCTCGATTAATTATATTATAAAGATTGGTATTTGAACTTTTTCGTCACTTCCAGTCCTATGCAATAAATATTTTCCATCAAATTAACAAAACATCACCCTTTGTTTCCTTACCTATAGAATGTTTTCTTCCTAGCAAATGGCAAGCAGCTCAGACACTGTCTGTAGATCCTGTTCTCATCTGTTTCCAGTTCCGAGCCACACTGTGCACAGCCAGCATATGTAATGTTGGGAAGAGAAGAGAAGATATGCTTCAGGGAACTGCGAGCATGTAGAGCTATCTTCTGAGCTGCTGTGACAGTAAACACCAGCTCTGAAACCTTGGCTTTAATCAGAACCACTCCTATATAAAAAGGAAATATTATAGTTACTAGAGCCAACAATACCTTTAATTGACAAACACAGCAAGCAATGTGGTTTGTTAACAGTCACTTAAGTATAGGCTACAACCAAGGTCTTGCTCTTGGAATTCATCCCTTCCTAGAGAATCTCAACTCACTTAGGGCTTCCATAAAGAACCTAAAATATAACGGACGATTTGCCTGAAACTGAGTGAGTCTAAGTGACCATTCCAAAAGGAATGGATGGGAGAGCATGGTTTCTTTTTCATTCACTGTAACCTCTAGCAAGTCAACTCATCTAACAATTAATTTATTCATTACATATATACTGAATATCTACTATATCTACCACAATCTTTGGATTCTAACTTATTTTCCCCTTTCTGCATACCAGTATATCCTATGAATCTATTTGAACATTAGTCTCCTCTCCACACTCATTTAAAGGTGTCTTTAAGCTTGCACACTTGTGTTTTGTTTTTGTTTTTGGTTAGTCATCTTTCCATCACTGAAACAAAACATGTGACATAATGTAAAGGCAGGAAGATGTATTCCGGCTCGAGGTTTCCGAGGTCTCAGTGCAGGCATGGTGGAGAGGGCAGCAGAGCAGGGTAGCTCACATCAAGGCAACCAGGAAACAGGGAGAATGCTGGAGCTACTATCTGGACCCCGGCCAACGAGACGCTGCCACCACAGTTAGAAATGTAGCACGAATAATAAAAACCCAAGACAGATACTGGGGTTCGAGCTGAAGATCAGGGAAATAAAAAAAAAGCAGTCAGCCACTACAGAGACTGTATACCCCTACCAAATCTTCACACCAAAAGGGCAGAGATCCTGTCTCCACAAATCCTTAAACACTACACTTCAGTGAGTTCCTGTCTCTTCTCCTTTATATTTCTCTCTTCACCCAGCCATTTCACTTCTGTCTCCAACTCCCTAGTGCTAGGATAAAAGGTGACTCCAAACACTGGGATTAAAGGTGTAAACCACCAACACCTGGATCTGTTTCTGGATCAATCTTGTGTAGCCCAGGGTAGCCTTGAACTCAAAGAGATTCATCTGCCTCTGTCTCCCAGGTCCTAGGATTAAAGGTGTGTGCCACCACTCCGTGGCCTCTAGTGGGAGCTTTGCATTCTGATCTTTAGGCAAGCTCTATTTATTAAAGCACAAATAAAATATTGCCACACAGAACAGGCCTTCCCTTGGTTGTCTTTGTAAAAAATCCCACAGACACATACAGAGTTGCACTTCACTAAGTTCCTAGTGCTTCGGAAAGCAATCAAGATTAACCATCATGATCCTCTCACGAATTATAGATGAGGACGTATCATGTTAGTCCCTGTTCAGTTTTCTGGCTATCTCTTTTGAAATTCAATAGTGGTGACTCTCCTTAACATCCTTGATTTGTCTTTCTCTGAGTCTCTTGAAGCCCAGAAATGCTTTCATCATTTTTTCTATTCAGGCCACGTATCTCTACATAAGTTAGTGGGAGTGGCCACATATTTTATAAGCTGTCGCAGAATCAACATTACACTTTCTCACAGCTATGTTCAATCACACACACAAAAAAATGGAAAAATGCAGTAATTTCAGAAGACTTTTCATATAATCATTTTACAACCTTGCATACCTCTTTCAAAAATTCGGAAGAGGCCACTGTAAAAGTGGACTTTGCTCTCAGGGGTACTCTAGAATGCTGGGCACTAGAACTCTGCCTCCTGTAGGAGACACTGGGTATGCTCAGCTCTTTACAAGGAGCCTCCCTTCTCTGGCTTTGGCAGCAAGAAGACAAACTTACAACATCTCGCCGGCTTGAGATCCCCCGTCTCTTACCTTTTATTTAATGGGGGAAAAAAAACAGGCTACAAAAAGTTACTCATTCTTGCATGTTATCTTTCCATCTCATATTTAAAGAAACAATGACAGAAACCATGTGCCTGTTCTTGTGATTGACCATCAGAGAATGAAAAGGGTTAACGAGGCCTTTTGAATACCCCTATCAAAGACTGGCTACAACAGTACAGTTGGGTACCCAACGGGTACCAAATACCCCAGAATTTCTAAAAAGCACTCCCAGTGCTCAACATCATCCCCAAACTAGTGAGGCTGTATCTTTGCTACCGCTAATCATTAGTTCTGTGGCCACTTCATCGCTGAATGAGGTTGCTTATTTTTATTTTTAAGTCTAATTCTAGGTAGGGATCCTAACAGGTCATTATCTTGTATAAGCAGTAGATAAAGTTGACTCCTCCACAGTAACAAATAAAAACTTCAAAGTGGCACAGCCCCTTGCTGCCTATGGCCTTCCTTCCTATTGCAGTCATCTCTGTGGTTCTATGGAATTTTGAGGGTAGACCCAGTTTAAATTTTTATATAAGTCTTCATTACCCAAGATTTCACCACTCAGTGTAAATCTGGACTCTACTTTGCCACAACAACTTCATATTTGAAAGTGGTATAAAAGGTATCACTATAAATGCCTGTATTTGCTGGATGGTGGTGGTGCACGCCTTTAATCCCAGCACTCAGGAGGCAGAGGCAGGTGGATTTCTGTGAGTTTGAAGCCAGCCTGATCTACAAAGAGGGTTCCAGGACAACTAGGGCTGTTATACAGAAAAAAAACTTGTCTCAAAAAAAAAAAAAGGAAGGAAGGAAGAAAGAAAAGCTTACATTTTTTAAAAATTTGGGCTTCTTAAAAATACTAATTTAACTAGTATTTTTAATTGTTAATATTAATAAAGGCCTCAATGTAGAATTTCTTATATGGAGTTATTTTCTAAGAATAAAGCTATTATTTTCAACTAAAATGCTTTTGTTCATTTCATTCTGTTCTTCCATTTTTCTTAGCTTAGTTGGATGATTCAGCAATGTTAGTCTATACTTGTCTCCTGGAAAGTGTATATATATATATATATATATATATATATATACACATACACACACATACATATATAATATTAGTTATTTTCTCATCACTGTGGCTACATACCAGACAAACAGCAACTGAGGAAAGAAGGGATTATTTTGGTTCAGAGTTCAAAGACTGCACTCGCCCTAAATGGGACAGCATGCGCATAGGAGCAAGGCAGCTCGCACACTGCATACTCAGGAAGATGGGTGCTAGGGCTCAGCTCACTTTCTCCTTTTTCCATTTTTATTCAGTCAGGACTTAAAACTATAAGATGGTGCTGCCCACATTCAGGGTGTATGTTCCTTCCTTAGTTTACCTTCTACAGAAACATCAGACCCATCCAGGTTATGTCACCTAGGTGCATCTAAATCCAATCAAATTGACAGTGAAGACTAATCAACACAATACAAATATGAATAACACGACTAGTGAGAGATGATCTACCATTTGCTCAAAGTGGAGCAAGGACTACATTTATACTCCCATCTTGTTATAGACACACACACTCCTGGCACATAGTTCCTAACACTCTAGGTATCTCAGAATGGTAGAGTATTCTTTGTATGCCAGAATCTGATATGACTTGGGCCATGGTGCTAGTGTCTAGGCCCCTTGGACATCTTGACTAAGTCTACATGGCCAGAACAATTCCCAGAGCTCCCACAGGGATGGGAATGGTGTCTTTAGCAGCCAAAGGAGAAAAGCTCACAACTCACAGAGCATTGGCAAACCCAGACACTTTACTGCACAGGAAATTCATAGTATTAATGGTCCACCTTGGTGGGGGTGGGGATCTCAATTTTCCTCTTAAATGAGAAAAAGCAAAACCCAAGCAGGTAGAAAAAAAAAACTAATACAGATCAGAAGAGAGGTGAAGAAAAAAGAAAAATCACTGAAACCAAATGGTGATTACAATCAGTAAAATGAATAGAGAACAGAGAGAATCAACTACTACTATCAGGTAAGACTGACAGCATTACCTAGTCTATCAATATTCAAAAGGACGGTAGGAGAATAAGTTATCAATAACTTATCAATGTGCATCAATAATTTTTGCTACATCAGTAATTTAATGGAACAAATTTCGTGAAAACTACAAACAAAAATTCACTCAACAAGCAGATTATCTTAACAGCTCTGTATCTATTAACTACATTGAATTTACAGTTAAAACCTTTCAACAACAAAAATCTCAGAGCCTAGGATGGTGGTATACACCTGCAATCCCAGCCCTGGAGTGGCCAAGAGTAGGAGGGTCATGAGTTGGAGGTCAGGGTAAGCTTTATAATAGGACCCTGTTTAAAGACAAAAGCATAATTATGCATGAAAATATCAGGTGTTCCTTAATAGTTTAAAATAAAAACAGAGTTAGAGGCAGAAGACTAAGAAATCAAAATCTGAATCAGCTATTTGTAGAGATCTAGATTTCACTTTCTTTTGTGGGGGTTCAAGACAAGGTTTCTCTGTGTAATAGTCCTGGCTGCCCTGGAACTTACATTATAGACCAGGCTGGTCTCGAACTAAAAGAGATCTTACTCTATAGATCCACCTGCCTCTGTCTCTTGAGTGCTGGGATTAAAGGAATATGCCATCACTGCCCAGCTACATTTCATTTCCATACTTAATTATATATATTCTCAGAAATGGCAGCCTCTTTGCTTCTACTAAGATGAGAAACATTTTACATATGTAAAGACCATACCTGAATACTTATCCTTTAGGTGGGTTGCTAAATCTGATGTCTTGACAAAGGACGGTATGCTTTTTTGAAATTTTGCTTTAAATGAAATTGCTCTTGTATCATCATCGAACAGGCATTCACAGGATGACCACAGCGTTGTATGCAACTCTAAGTTTTCTAGTATGCAATTGCGTTGAACAAAAAGGTACTTAAATTCCCAAATACAATCTTAAACAAACAAACAAACAAAATGTCACCAAAATAAGAAGTCTCTGCTCAGAATCAGATTAAGTAGACTAACCTAACTAAATCAGCTAAACACAACTTTTATCACTAAAGAATTTGGGCAAAACAGACAAAATATAACTGTGTGGTTAAAGCAACTGAATTTAAAAGCTACAAATTATCTCTCTATGGAGTCCATGCTGGCTTTGAACTTTTACTCCTCCAAGCACTGGAATTAGATGTGTGCCCCACCACACCTGGCTAGATATTGTTTAGTAATCTTTTCTAACTTCTTGGACCCTCTAAACAACTGCCTCTTAGAACAGCACATTCTCATATGAAGGTTTTTTTTAACTAGTTGAGATTTTTTTTTTTTAGGACAATGAAATGTGTGGTACTGTAATTCCCTCAGTAAGAACTGATTCTTGTTTTGTTTCTGTTCAGAATTGACAAATATGTCAGCAAATCTATATAGACAGCATCATTAGATAGATATTGGATGGGGGCTAGGAACTGAACACAGTTCTACCAACAGCCTATAACTAGTTATCAGGAAAACAACTGTGCTGAGAAATTTCCTTTTTCCTTAGTATAACTGGGAGGGTTATTTTACAAGATAACAGTCTATCACTAAGGAAAGCAAAGCAAAGACTCAAGGCAGGAACTTGAAGCAGATGCAGAAGATCACTATTTACAGAATTGCTCCCAGGTTTCCTATACAGAACAGGCCAGCATGGTTAGAAATTTCACAGGGGTAGGTTCTCCTACATCAATTAGCAATCAAGAAATTTCCCAAAGACCAAGCAAATGGGGTGATTCTTCAACTGAGATTGCGTCTTCCCAGATGAGGCAGGTTGACAGTAAAGATTAGCCATCACATCTTTCCTTTGTGTTATTTTAAACGGTCTACAAGCTTCTCTAATGGTCAAAAATATATGCTTAGCATATGCTAATTACATGTTTTATAATACCTATGATTCCAACAGCAACATTAATAATTTAATATAATGCTATTATTTTCTTTTTTAATTTTTTTACATCCCAACCACAGCTTCCCCTCCCTCCATTTCTCTCAGCTAACCCACCTCCCAAGTGCAGAAATTACAAGCATGGACACTAGGCACAAGCCCGATCACTCTTAGGAAGTATAATTTATGTTGCATGTGCCCTCATTAGAAACTAAGCTGTGACCACTGCATGCTACATACAAAGTATGCTAGCTTCCTGCTGGCAATTAGTATTTCAAAGAAACACAAATTTGAGATTTCTTACTATTCTCCCCCAAAACATCAATTTTATTATCGTTATTATTGAATATAGGCTACTTGGTGATCATTTCTGATTGTATGAGCTAAGTTTGTTCTCCTTAAGAATATATGAAAGCCAGCGCCTACTTCAGAAGCTCATATGGAGATGGCCTCAAGAACTGCTAAATGAACAAAAAGAAGGCTAACAGTTTCTAAAAGTACAATTACTTCCTTAAATAACCCTTCAAAATTGTTATTTTTCTATTAAAAGGCATTGTCTTGAGGTATTGAAACAGATGTTAAAACTTTAAGATGATGAGGGTATAAATAAATTTAGGTGTAATTAGTGAATTCAACAAAAGCAATATATATTGTAATTCCTGGATTCCTAAGTTTTCAGTATTAACTAAAAAGTCATGGAACTATCTAGAGATACAACGATTCTCCTTCTGTCAGCATAAAGTCCCTAGCGCTACACCAGCCACACTGAGAAAGCAGCGGGGAGCTCTGCCCCATCACTTTACCCCTGACCTGCATTTGCTTCGCATGCACTGGCCTCGTGTTCACTGCTGAGATACCGTGCTCAGTGATCATGTCTGCCATCGATACATGTTTGCCAAATTTCACAACTGGACAAACATCTGTCACTATTTGATCCTAACATAAAAGTCAGACTTATCTCAAATCCTAGTTAGGGGCTATTAATGATTAAGAGACAGTGTGACAGATCCTACCTCCAGATAAGCACTTGATAGACAGAAGTTTGAACTGCAACATTACCTCATTCAAGTACAAAATAATGAACCAGTTGATCAATGTCTAATTATTTTTCAGAGTAAGGTAACTCAAAAACCATTATTTAAACTCTCAGGCTGTTAAAATCAGAATTTCTCAGTAGTGACGTAAGATACTGTAGTAATTTTTGAAACACCCCTTTTAATTTAATGCACCATGAATTATTAACTTGTGCTTTTAAACAATGTACCACTGGGTCATATTTTTTAAGCAAGCATTCTATAAAGGTTAAGAGTTCACATTTTTAACAATAATAAAAACCCAGGACATAGCAATTAATTCAACAGGAAATGTAACTTTAAGACTTAATGTAATTCCCCCAACATCTGCCCTCTGTCAGAAAGGAACTTATTTATAAGAGCACTCTGGCTAAAAAACACAAGCTGCAGACATTTAATTTAAAGAGCATCTCTGAGGGGCTAGAAAGATGGCTCCGCAGTTACGAGAATGCACTGTGACTGCAAAAGACCAAATGTTCCCAGTGCCCAACTAGACAGCTGTGACTCCCACTCTAGGGAATCTGGGTGCCAGATTCTGTACACCAGAGGCACCTGTACTTACATGTACATACCCACAGACAGACAGACAGACAGACAGACAGACAGACAGACAGATACACACAATTTAAAAATAAAATCTTTTAAAAAATAGAACAATATTTGAAGGAAATAAAGTTTTTACCAATACCCTCATATAGTAGGCATGGGAACATTCGAGCCTTTATTTTGTCACTATTAATTACAAAGGACTTCCAGATAACTAAATTTCTGTAAGTATAAAATTATAGCAAAAGAAATTTGCAGAGCATTCAATCACTATTATTTCAAATGCTATACTCTCTCCAAAGTCTCCCCACCTCAGACAAGCAAACATTAATCATTTACCAAGGTATAAGAAGGTAAAATGCTTTTTTTCCCAATATATTTACCCTTTTTCCTTTGAAGCTGAGTATACCAGGCTGCTCCAGGACCCCATAATACAAGCACATAATGGTGACCTTGAACCTGCTCCACAGTTAACACAACTTTCCTTTGCTTCTGTCCTCTATAACTATATAACGCCTCTGGAAAAGGAAAAAGAACCTAGTTGATATTACCCTGCTTGGGTGACAACACAGGATCTCATGGTAAATGCACAGTGGAAATCAACTAATGCACTAAGATGGCCTTGCACGGGTTTTATGAGCTAACATTGAAGAGACACTCAAAATATTTACCTGTCAATACAGTAACATCCACTATTCTGAGTAGTGCATGGACTAATGTATCAGGCTGCAGCTGCTCCAATTCCACAAACTCCACGGTGCTCATTTTCTGACGCTGCCTCTGAGGCAAATCTTTGAGATAGGAATGTTTTGAAGACACATATGCCAGTAAGTCCTGAAGTATAACATCGGTAACTACATTGGAATCTAAGAAACACAAAAAGATGGAAAAAGGAAGACATCATATTTTGCTGGTAATCACAAATATAAAAACAGCTGTGGTGGTTTGAATAAGAACAGCCCCCATAGGCTCATATATTTGAACACTTAGTCATCAGAGAGTAGCAACTCATAAAGCATTTAATTAAGACTTGCTTATGGTTTCAGAGGTCAGTAACATGGTGGAGTAGGGCAACACACAGGCTGGAGAAGCAGCTGACAGTTCTACATCTGGATATATGGGCAGCAGGGAGACAGTGCCATTGGGCCTGGCATGTGCTTTTGAAACCTCAAAGCAAACAGTGACACACTTCCTCCAACAAGGCCATCCCTCCTAATCCTTTTCAAGTAGTGTCATTTCCTATGTAACACATGCTTACATGAGAATTAGGGTAGGCAGTCTGTGTGTGTGTGTGTGTGTGTGTGTGTGTGTGTGTGTGTGGTTGCTATGCTGTGTGGAATTTGGTTGGGAAGAGAAGGATGACCGCTTTACAGCATCTTGGAAGTGCTAAGGACAGCATCTTAAACTTGAATGGTGGAGGGTAGCAGTTCAGGAGTCTGTTAGGTGGCTTGTAGCATATGTCCAAGTGATGTACTAAAGAGCTTGTTGGTGAAGGACTGTTGTCACGATGGTTGGGAAAGATGGGACCAAATTAGACTAAAGACTGAGGAGTCAATAGATAGTTTCAGGATCATTAAGAATTTAAAAAATAATGAAAAATCTGAGCCTGGCTACAGGCTGAGAACAGAATGAAATTTTTGGAGATAATAATAGTTTCTATTGCCTAACAATATCAACCTTTATTTTTTGAGTAAAGAATAGGCTGCATATTTTATAGAAATTAGGTAATGTTTTGTATGTTTTTATATATCACAACATAAAACAGTTTATAAAAATTATACACAGTGTGATAAAAAAAAATAACTCCTGAGAAGAAGCTAAGTCTGCAAAGACTGACTCACTGATCAGAATGTCAACTGTAAGAATGCCAATTGATTATTCAGTCATAATAGTATTTAAATGATTTTAATCTTCCTCTCTCAATGTTTATTTTACTTTTTAAAGATTGTTTTATTTTCTGTATATGACTGTTTTTCTGTGCACCACAGGAGTTCCCACAGAGTGTGTCAGACCACCTGGAACTGGATTTTCAGATGGTCGTGAGCTACTAGATGGGTGTCAGGACTCAAACCCAGGACCTCCATGCAAAATGTACTCTCGGTCACTGAGTCAATTCTCCAGATTCTGTTTTTAATTTTTTGAAGCAAACTTTACAACTGTATATACAATAAAATATGCATATTTTAGAAGCACTGACAGAACACGCAGATGGTTCATCAGGTAAAGGAATTTGCTTCCAAGCCTGATGACCTGAGTTCTGACCCCAGGACTTACATTGTATAAGGAGAGAAGCAACTCACAGAAGCTGTCTTCTGAATTTTACACAGGTACTATCACCCCATGTAAACTAAGTAAATAAAATATTTTAAAATATGGATTAATGAGCTTTGCTGATCAAATTTAAATTCTCCTGAAAAAAAGGGAGCTATCGTCATATATGTGACAGATCTGTGGCCAAAAGAAGATGTTACCCAAAGTAATTCGCTGTTTTTTTTAAAACAACAAGAGTTTATAAACTAATTTAGGATTTTTTTTCTTCATCCCATTAACATGTTCATCTGTATCTACTCCATCTGCCACACCATCACCTAATTATTCACTCACTCACCAGAGGATCATCTACCATGTGACAGGTACCACACCAGGTGCTAAGGAAACTGAGAAAAACCACATCACAATCTCAACATAGAGAGAGTTACTGATTGACCTAGAGACAGACGGTAGCAAACACTCAGCAGAGAAAGTAAACTGAGGAGAGGGTTGACTCTCACTCAGTAAAGTGTTTACCGAGCACTTGGGTGGCACTGGGCTCTATCCCCAGAACCATAAATGGCCCTGAGGGATAGAGGAAGGGGACGGAGAGTTGGAGAAAGGAAGAAACGTTCCTGAAAACTTATACACAGAAAAAGAACTACTTAGAAAACAGTTGGCTAGACTCTCCAGGGGATAAACTGGAGAAAGATGATTAACAGTTATATGAAGAGTGAAGTGACAGCTGAAAATGTCTTGTACAATAACAAAACCAAAAAAAAAAAAAATACAATCTATCCCAGAGGCATTTGTGTGGTCTGGGGAGCTCCGCCTCACAGAGGAAGTGACTAGACTCATGCTTAAAACCAGAAAGAAAGAAAGAAAGAAAGAAAGAAAGAAAGAAAGAAAGAAAGA